TATAAATATTTTGTTTTATCTTTAATTAGTAAAATTAACGAAATATCATATTATACTAAAAATAATGTTTTATTATTTCACACTTACGTTTAAAAAAAATTATATTTTTTGGCTGACAGGCATGTCAAATGAAATGGGTTTACAACAAAAAGAAAAATTAGAACAGAGAAAATTTTATGGAGTTTTTTTGTTGACCATTATTTCAATCATTGCTCGCCTGAAGAGCGAAACAAGCCTGAGAGATTGAGAGAGGTAGTAAGAGAAATATGGGCTCCATGACATTGTCGCYTTATTTATGTGAATCCAATTGGGCGTGTTAAAAATATTACCATCAGTTTTTCTATCGTATGCTTGTGAAAACATACAAACTTACGCAATCACGCATATATGCACACCAACACAATCATATACAGACATGATATACATTCACTAACACATACAAATGCACGTGCATTTTCTCTTTACCCATTTGACGTTGTTATTATAGCGCTCGTAAATTTTTCTCAGTTTGATACCTATATATTTAAATCAACCCTTTTAGTAGGTATTACATTCAGTACCACTCGAGTATTTTTTTAAAACTTATTCAACAAAAATAATATTATTAAACTATATACATTTACAGGAACAGGATGGCTCACCATGTTTTTCCGTTTTTTCATTTCTCTATTACATCAATACAGGAAATCACAAAGAGGCTTCCTGTATATTGTATACTTCCTTACCTACAACACTGTGTATAATATTAGTTCACCAAGTCCCTACAGTAAATAAATAATGTCTCCATCAGAATTCATATTTAAAACMCTGCCCATACATAACATAATGCAATTTAGCATTTATTAATATCATCTAATTCAATTGCTTTCAATCAATTACTTTTACTTAGTATTAAAAATCATAATAATTACGAACTGATATCAGCAATAAATAAGAAAATTATTAAGTGCGTTGCGTTAAATAATTTAAAAAATAATAAAGTTGTTAAGTTAATAAGCGTATTACCTATTAGTTAACCACTCAGAAAAACTTTTATACTAACGGTTTTAAATATATTATGAAAAAGTGAATTAATAATTCTTTTTTCAGAAACTAAATTTRATATATTAAATTTAATACTTAGTTAATGAGGAGGAGAATGTAKAAATTAAGAACAAATGGTATAATTTGTTGCGAACCAAGCATAATGAAATAAAATATGAAGCTAATAAATAATATATTATGAAATTGCATTTAACACGTAATTTTTTGTATAATTTACCATCGGTATTATAAAAATACAGCATTTTTAATTATTACGCAATCGATGTAGTAATAGTATGTAGTACCTAAGTATGTTACTATGTTCATAGATAACTCTCATTGATGTTAGGTGAACGATTGTAATTACTAATTTGTTGTCCTTGTGTGTTCAAAAGGCGAAAGGTAAAGTGCGGTAATTCAAATAATAAACCTTGAGTGACGAATCCATAACATRCTATCAAYAAAAAGTGTTTAATGTACGGTGTTGTTATGTTATAATATGATTTGAGTATCAATGAATTATTTAACTAATATATAGATAAAAATAAATAATCTAAATAATATATCCCTAAACCACGTCAATCACATCGGAATACATATGATTAGATACATTTTCATATATATTTTTTAAATAGATATATTTTTGGATCGGTATAACTTTTTTCTGATCTATGTTCATAAAACTTTGTTTATTGGCATAGAAAAATAAGTTACTAAAATAGATAAATAAATAAATTACGACATAATATAATATGCTAACAGAAAATTTTCACTCTGAATCGTTTTTTATTTAGATATAATAAATCATTATATAATTGAATTCAAATTAAACACCTAATGTACACCTATAACAAAGTGGCATCCACTTGTCAAACTTTTGTTTTGTTTTATTAATTCGTATTATTTGTATGATTATTTACCAAATTTGTACAACTCGATTTTGTAAACACAAAAAAACTTGGGAATGGTGGGAAAAAAACGTTATTAGGTAACTTAAATCATTGATGCTAGGCTGGTGTTTTGGCCCATAAATTAGTACATCTGCTGCAAGTATACATGGGTG